CCTCCCGCTCGAGGGCGGCACCGCCATCCCCGGTGCGCGAGGGGGTTGGGGTTCTGCCTGAGCCGGGCCGAGGAGGGTTCAGGCGCTGCAATTGCCTCCCGTCGCGAGTCCCTGGGCTTTGGGGGTCCCCCGGGCCCAACCCTACGTCTCGGGGTGAGGGCAGCATCAGGCATGCACCTCGGAGTGGCACCCTGGGCTTCCTCTCCCTCTTTCAGGGGGCTGCAGCGAGGATCTTTGTTGATCTTTTCCTTTACTCTGGGAATAGCGGTTCCTTTTTGATCTTGATGTGTGGAGTATTCCTGCCTCCTGGCAGGTTTTATGTACCGCCTCTTGGGACTAACCTGTTCCGCTGCTTGTCCTGTCTGTAAAGCTGAGGCTTCCAGAGCACTGTGCAGTTCATGTGGACGCTGAACGCCTTCAGCAGTCTCTAATCCATGTCTTCCTTCCCTTTTTTTCCGGCTGCCTGGTGAAAGCAGTGGAGACAGCAGCCCAACGTGAGGCTTTCATCGTAGGAAAGCCCAACCGGTACATGTTTGATTGCGTGGTGAGCGAGTTCAACATCGATCCTGCTCGTACCATCATGGTGGGAGATCGGCTGGACACAGACATCCTCATGGGCAATAACTGCGGCCTCACCACCCTGCTGACGCTCACCGGGGTCACCACGCTGGACGAAGTGAAGGGTCACCTGGAGAGCGACTGTCCTGCCAGGCAGAGCCTGGTTCCCGATTACTATGTCGATAGCATAGCCGACCTTCTCCCAGCGCTGGGGAATTAATATAGCAAAATGCTTGCAGCCTCTGCAGCGGTACCGCTCGTTAATCACCTTGTGAGAGTAACGTATGCACTAGGACACCACCCGGAGTTAGCAACCCTTAGCTTTTTAACCTTGCTGTCCTCTTGATATGATGTTGTTTACACCTCCGTCTTTAAATGCACTTTGAAACAGAGGGCATTACGGTGTCACCCCAGTCTGTGGGCCTGGGGCTTTTATGTTTTTTAAATTATAAGCCACACATCTATCCAAATGTTTGTGATATTCGATGTCACATTGTCCTCTAGACTGAGTTGAGGAAAGTTGAGCTGGTTGATGGGAGGAAGAGACCCCCCGATCTGGGGTGTTCCTCGCCTGGACAGGCTGTGGCTCAGTCTGGTTTATTCAGGGAAATGACTCTCAGAGTGCGTAGTGACTTAGTGGCGCGTTTGGAAACGCTTGCAGTGGCTGGCAGAATTGGAGTTTGACCTTGGGTTGATTGTTTTAATTTCTTTTTGTGGATGGGGTCCTTTCTAGCAGTACAGCCTGCTGCAAGCACGACGACGTCAGGGCGCAGAACCTGAACTCCCTCTCCTTTATTTGACCGTGTCAAATTGCACTTGTGATGCAGATTGGGATGATTCCACTCGCAAAACACAAACGGTGTCTTCTGTATACTGTGTGTGTCCAAGCATGGGATGTATGTGTAAAGTACATGTACATACAAGAACTACCCTCATCCTAAATATATATCAGAATATATATGAAATAGAAATCTACGTATAGAAAATGATAATATATCATGTTTCCCAGAAGGGAGGTTAAGAGGAATGTACTTTGCTGATCACAGTAGGTTTAATTCTCCTAAGCTTTTGCATTTGATAATGCGGGAAGTCTGTGAGCACATAGGACTGTCCTTCACTACTGCTGCTTCCCAGAAATAACTGGATTGATGAGAACCGAGTTAGTTCTTGTACTTCCCTCAGCATCAAAGTAGCCGCTTGCCTTGGCTTTAGCCGCGGGATCAGAATCAGCGCCCGGTCCGCGGGGGGTGGATGCGGTGTGCGGCACAGCCTGCTGCTGAAATAAGCCTGAGAGAGTTCTGAGGGTGTGTGACGATGGCATGTGCTTCCTTTAAATATCCGAGGTTCATATCTTCCGCGTGTGCCTGGCGTGGGGCCTGGCACCACTTGCTTGTCTGCAGAGGCGTGCTTGCTTGCTCAGGTGGTGATGGAGCTTTCAGTGGGCTTGGGCAATGCACGGCTCAAGCTATGGGGTAGATTTTTATGCTGGTTGAATCGAAGGCCGCAGCTTTTGCATTACAGGATTAAGTGAAAAATCATATATGCAAATAACCTGCTTTTATTCCATAGATCCCACTGTTGGCACTTAAATTCAAACGCTGGCCTGCCTTCGTTTCCCACTGAATAGCTCTAGCAGTGTGTCGGTGCCAGTTCCTCCTGCTCGGGCACAAACAACTAGGCTCGCTACCGTGTTTGTGCAGCAATAACCGTGCGGTTCTGGGTGTTACGAGTCTTGGCTGGATCTTGTAAGAGGGTGTTCGCCTGTGGCCCAGAGTGGCGTAAGGATCATCTCTCCCCTGTTCCTGACTCCAGCTGGAAGGCTTACACAGTCACGGAGAAAGACTTCCTAGAACTTTGGCTTTATCCGGGTGACGTGGAAACGGACGTTCTGGGTTTACTGCAGGGAGGGTGTGATGTCAGGGGGTGTGCTTTGATCCGATTCCTGTATCTGGTGCTTCTCATTTCGGAGTATGCGGAGTAAAGCAGTAACTGCCCGGAGGGGCGCTGGGCCTCGCTCAGGCAGCGCGCTGTCCCTGCTGAGTGCCGCTCGCTGTACAAGGGAACCATTACCTCGATTCACGTATGCTGAAATGTGCTGGTGAAGGTGTCAATCGTGCTTCAAAACTCTGTATCGACTTCCAGGTGGTTTTTAAACCTCTACTTGAATTCACATTAAACTTAGAAACCTGCTTTCCCCTGGCGCTGTCTTATTTTGTAGTTTCTGGATCTTTGCTGCAGCCGGACTGTGGAAACTGGGAGGTGGGGATGCAGTTCGTATCCTCTGCAGGATTAAGGAAAGAAATCCAAACCCTGGAGTAGATTCCTGCCATTCAGGTGCCCAGAGCTGTGCAGGACTCAGCGTGGGCTGGGATTTGCTTCTTTGAGCCAGAGTGCAGCACAGGGCAGAGTGCAGTAATCCGTTCGCAGTGTTTTACAGAGGGGCTTGTCTCCTTCCTGTGCCTTGGATTAGGCAGGGTATGAATTTCTTAAGAAAGTGCCTGCTGTGTGGCTGTTTAAGTGTGGGGAGAACACCCTGTTTGCCTGTGGCAGCTGGTTTTTCGGCTTTCTCGTGCCAAGCTCAGCGGCAGCAGCAACCAGCTGGCAGGCTGCACCACCTGGTCGCAGGAGCAGGGCTGGTGCTTTGACTCTTCCAACGCCGTTCCTGCTCCCGTCGGAGCCGTGGCATGGGACACTGCGGTCTCACGTTCCTGGTGTTGCTGTTTTCAAGGTGTGACCGTGACGGCTGACCCTCGGTGGCCGAAGCGTTCAGGTGTGCGCTTGTCCAGAGTTTGAGGTCACGTCCCACAGAAGCCGTGTGCTGGAATGAGGGTGATCTATGGAAATAGCTCGGGTTTGACCCAGGGGGAGGGATTGCTAGTGCCTCCGGGATGAGCTGCCCTCTTGACCGAGTTTGATCAGTCCTGGGCCACGTTTGATGGGAAAATGTCTAAAAGCTGTATTTTTCCTTGACAGATCCCGTATGAAGGAATTCTGTTGAACTTTTCCCTGCCTCCAGCTGGTTACGCCTGGCTGGTAGGTCTCAAAAACGAAGCGTTCCCGGGGACTCCTGGGCAGCTCTGGAAAGCCGCCGTCTGGCGCCCTGGGAGCGCTGTTCCCCACGGGATGTTTCACGGCACAGGACACGGGTGTCAACACAGGCGCAGCTCAGGTCGTGGCCGTGACTTTGCAGTGTGGATCCTGTTCCCCGGGCTCTGTGCGGAGCGAGGTCCGTAGGTGGAACACAAGCGTGTCTGTGCAGCCAAGGCTCGCGGGGCAGCGGTCTGCAGGATAAACACTTGGCTTCAGCCCACGGAGCTCCGGCAGCACAGAGCTCACGTTGAAATGTAGAAATCCCTGATGACAAGGGCAGGCTGTCGCTTCCCTCTGTCCATTGTTTCTCTCCAGGAGACTCAGCCGGTCCCGCTTCGGAGCCTGCCAGCAGCAAGGACCCACACAAAGCCCTCGACTGTCACCCCTCCCCGCCGGCCCGCGAGGTGAGCAGGAAGAGGTTTGATGCCCTGACAGCACCGCTCGGCAGCCCTGGCTCCTGGCCCCTCTCCCCAGGTGGCAGCTCTAAGGTTTCACCCTCCCTGCGCGCTCCTGGCTGGGAAACCCTTTGGCTGCCAGGGCCCTGGGTTTACGTTTCACGGATGCGCGCCTGGAGCCGAGGATCATGCCCAGTCTGCGTGTGGGCAGGCAGCGGAGCTGCAGGAGTGAGGTCCTCGTCTGCGGTGGAGGATGGAGAGCAGGGATGGCACCAGGAACGCTGCCTCTGAGGTGAGTATCCCCCCCAGGTCCCCGCTCTCTGCTTGCTGCATTCCTCTTCCGAAGGAGCTGAGCTCCTGCCGTTCTGTGGATGCTGGTAAGATTTTCTTCACCCCCAGCTGCAGCATCCCATGGTTCAGCTCCGTCCAAGGCAGCTGTCACCTGGATTTTCTAAGTGCCCAGACTTACACGGGATAAACCGGTTGTGTAACGAGATGGGGGGGGCTGGGTCAGAGACACCAAAGAGCCCCGACTTTTCTAGGAGAATCTGGAAGTCAGGCATTACTGACAAAGGTCAGTAACCCATCTGGAGGTTGAGGAACCTGTTCCATGTGTGGCTGCAGCAAATCTAACCATGGACACTCATTGAATTTCTCTGTGTGCATCAGAAAATTGATAAATACGTTATTTTTGTAAGTGTGGTTGAAGCTCTGTTATTGAAAGCACATTCTTTCTTCTCTGTAAAAATGATTTTATGTGCCATTAAGTTAAATTTAATTGTTTCAATATAAGACTTAAAGTGAATTTTAATCGAGCCACTAGAAATGCCACAGGACTGCCAAGCTCTTTTGCTTCAAGGAGCAGGTGGGGCTGCGTGAAGAACTACGTACCAAGAAACTAAACCAGAGCTGAATATATGGAGAGGCAGGGAAGCGGGATCGTCCCACTCGGGGCTGGTGTCAAATGCTGAAGGTTGTCCTGGGGAGTTCTGCTATAAACCAGAACCATTGAATTTGTTGCTGAAGTGCAGCAGCTGCCCCTGTTTCATAGAATCATGGAACGGTTTGGGTGGCAAGGGACATTGCAGCGCCCCCAGTCCCACCCCCTGCCATGGGCAGGGACGCCTTCCACCAGACCAGGTTGCTCCAAGCCTCATCCAGCCTGGCCTTGAACACTCCCAGGGATGGGGCATCATCCACAGCTTCTCTGGGCAACTTGTCCCAGTGCTCCCCACCCTCTGCAGGAAGAATTCCTTCCCAGTGTCCTATCTCAATCTCCCTCTTCCTGTTTAAACCCCTTAAAAAACCCGTTTCCATCCGTTTGTGGGAACCATCCTGCTCCAGCCCTTTCTCGGTGGGTTTGCAGTGTTTGCTGCTTCCCTGGCCACGGGAGGAAAGCGCTTGGCTGTGGGAGTGCTGGTCACTGGGATGTTGGATCAGAATCTCCATCACTGGGGGATAAAAGTGACATTATTCTGGGGCTGCTGTGATGTTCTGGCCATTCTCTATTCACACTCCTGCCGTCTGCGGAGTGATTTGTGTTGTGTTATGGGGAAGAATAACCAGCGGGAGGGTTGACTTTCACTCCTGTTCTTTCCTGCTTCTGCCTTGGCTCCCAGGACAGGAGAGCCACAGCACGCTTCCCAGCTCCATCCAGGACGTTCTGGATCACCTTGTCCATTGCCTTGTTCTTCGCAGTTGTTGGCATCAGTGTTTTGGGGGTTCTCGGCCTCTCCCCCAGCTCTGCCCAGGTAAGGGATCTCCAGGCAGGAGACCTCCTCCTGCCCACAGCCCGGGTTTGTGTCGGAAGCGCTTGCAGGAGGGAGGAGGGGGCCACGATCAGGGCTGGGTTTGGCCGGTTACCCCGTTGCAGGCAGCGGGTGGGCAGGAGGGTGCTGGCAGCGC